TTTGCATCTGTAATTTTTTGTGATAGATGCTAGTGGTTGCGAAGTTGATTGTAAATTAATGAAAGCTTTTTTTTTTTGAATGTGATCAAACTTTCCTTACAAAAACTATGATGTTTATGAAGATACCATGAAAAAGAAGATAACTTATAACTCAAAGAATAATATATATTATATTTTGGTATCTTATTTAACATTTTAATTTTTTTAATTGAGATGATTTATTGATATGGTATTATATTTTTGATAACTAAGATACCACGAGTTTGAATCTTATTATTTTCAATTTATTTAATAAAAATTAAGCACAATATAATATAAATATAAATTTGAGTGATAAAAATTAAGCATAATATAATATAAATATGAATTTGAGCTCAAAAAACTTTTAATAATATAAATTATATATCGAATTTCATAAAAAATTCTGTGTTTACTGCTTTGAAGAGATAAACACCATTTGAAACTTGCATAACTCTGAAATCAGCATAGTGATAAATTTGCATTTTTAACAGACAGCCAAAAAAAAATTCTCCTAAATGGAAAACAACTATCCAGATATTCAATCCTATGATGAAAAGCTATTCTTTTTCAAAATCTAAGGGATTTCAGTAGCTTAGTTTAGGTAGACCAACTAAGCACTTTCTTTGGCTTCCATCTACAGACATATGTGCTTGATGTGCTAATGAAACCGGATGAAGGCTGCGTAGGACAAGAAGAGACAATAGAACACAGGATTAAAAGTGGAGTCCATGACCTGCAGCCCACGCAACAATGCCGACATAAGTACAGTCAACTCTCGGGTTATCTTGTCTAGTCCCATTTGCCGCTTGCTCTCTAGAGGTCAGTCAGTCCATGGTGCTAGGTTCTGATGTGTTTATGGAGTTACGTGTGCCTAGATGAGAAGTGAAATAACCCACAAGGAAAAACGAAGGAAATCACTTAAATAAGTTTCAGTTTGAAAACAGCATTCCAACTTGCAATTGGGATACCAGTATCCAAACCAAACTCCTTGTCATCAAATGGTAAAATGCTGCTTGGCACTTCAGAACTACAGATTTATCAACTATATATGAAGAGAAGAAATCACATGTCCAAATACTTATTTTCAATCTATTTTTTACTTAAATCACTTAGAAAATACTCTAGGAATCTTATTGTCACAACCCAATTTCTAAATCCATAACCGGCACATAAACAAGGTTCTCGTCCAAGGTTTCATACTTATGCGAACCAAAACTTACATACAATCTTATTCTTAAATAACTCAATTAGAGTTCAACACAGTAGTAACAACAAACTAACTTCATAATATAATTTAATTATCTTAATACAAGAATTAAGATAATTTCATAGTTTTAGGGCATTAACTAGATATAAAGAAAAAGGTACAAATTATAACCAAAAGAGCAGGTTCTAAAGGTCCAATAAAAATGACATATTATCAAGCTATAAGCCTGAAAAAGATAAATAATGAGATAGTGAGTATAATGTTAAATATGCACACACGAGGTAATACAACAATGAGAAATATATATACAATTGGCTTTAGGTTCTTATAGGAAAATTCCTCAAATAAGCCATAACAAGAATATCATAAAGTAAAACTCATCAAAAAACAAAATGCAATGAGAATGAAGCTCCGTGCTGTAGGATGATCAGTACACATAGATTGGTGACTCTCTTGATCAACTAGAGTTTAGATACGATGTGCACAAAGACTAACACTACCCTATTAGTATGAGTATTCTAACTGGCATACTATAGGTTCATAATTATAATCAAACAGATATATTCATATCTCAAAACTCAACTCATGATATTAATCAAATAAGGAGCTATCAATTCAGAAATCAATTCAAAATGGTTCATATCAAGAATTCAAATTTAATAATTGATTATACTTTATCATAACAAAAATAATAATCAACATATATATTATCAAGAAGCATGATCCAATTCATATTAACAAATCAAATATTTATAATATTTTTCATGCATCTGAAAAATTATCCACTCACCTAACTTGAAAACAAACAGAACTCAAAACTAATACCGAAGGAAATTTTACTGACATTCCGCTAGTAGAATATCAGAATGATCTGAATATAATGGAGATATATTTAAGAATGACTCAAAAGAACATATATCCTATTTAATACACTTATTTAAAGCCATATTCCATAATCCTATATGTTTTTATACTAAACTAGTTATTTTTTAAAAAACCCAAAAATTAAACGATTTTTTTGAAATCTAATCCATAATTAAAAAAAATAAAATTTAAAAATAATTCACTAGTAACCCACATTTATTCATCAAACCAATCTGCAAAAGCTAATATTACAGCTAAGGAGTAATACGGAATTTATTATATTTTTAAGGATCAAATTGTAACTTTTATCAAATTAAAGGACCAAACTAAAAATATCATAAATCCATGACTATACTGAAATTCTGATCATATTTAATCCTCAATTGTATCCAGAATATCTCATTATGCTCCAGGGACCATTCTTGAATTTTTCCAAATTTTTAAGGTCAAATTGTAACTTTTGTCAAATTGGAGGATCAAATTAAAAATATCATAAATCCATGACTATACTGAAATTCTAACCATATTTAATCCTCAGTTCTGTACAGAATATCTCATTATGCTCCAAGGACCATTCTGGAATTTTTCCAAATTTTTAGGGTAAAATTAAAGGACCAAATTGAAGGTGTTAAAATTTCATAACTATACAGGAATTCTGCTCATAATTCATCTTTTATTCTGTTTAGAATCTCGGAATATGCTCTAGAGACCAATTTGTAATTTTTCAAAGGTTGGGGACTAAACTGTAATTTTTATAAATTGAGGGACCGGACCTAAATTTTGTCATCTTCAACCTCAAATCCAGAATTTTCATAAATTACCTATTGTTATCTCATGATTTCCAACACAAATTCATCATTCAAATAAAATCATAACTCAAAATTATCATATTTACCTACAATCTCTCAAAATCAACTACAAATCCATTACCCACAATAATCAACCCTATAACATTCAAATTAATTCATCAATAAATCCAAAACACAATCTTTGAAACCCTAACATTCAACCAAAACATAAATTCAAAGCTTAAATAACACATAATCTTACCTTTAAACTTATTTTTTCTCCAACTCCTTTCTATTTCCCTTTTAATTTCTCTCTTTTCTCTTCTTCTTCTTCTTCTCCTTTTCTTCTCTTCTCTCGTCAATTTTTCACTCTTAATTTCTGATCTCTCTTGTTTTATATATATATTTATCAAGTTTTGTTAAATTACCACAATACCTTTTATTTATTTATTCCTACATTTAGGCAAGTTTTGTTAAATTACCACAATACCCTTTATTTATTTATTCCTACATCTAATCCTTCAAGGTCTTTATAGCATTTTTATAAATCTTTAATTCAAAACGTTACACTTATTAAACTAATTCATAGCCTCTAAAAACACAAAAACCCAGTCCAAAACCCATAATCAGCCTAAAACCCAAAAATATTTCCAAGTCTAGATCTTTTTTTAAGTATTTTCAAGTAAAAAAACAATTAATCGTAATTCTCTTTTTCATATGGAACCATACAATACAAAGAATGACTATTTTGATGGCCACAATAGTAACCAACGACAATTTTTTTCTCCACACTTTCTCTCCTTCAATCAAAAAAGGATTAGAAAATGATGAAAATAAAATTTTATACTAAAATAAAGTGTTTGAAAATTATAAGGATCAATAATGTAATATCTTAAAAAGATGAGAACAAAAATAAATTTCCTCATAGAATCTGGAGATCAATGCTTGAATAATCTCATGAAATCTTATATACCATCACAACCTAAGTATAATGTGTTTCACATACATGGCTGATAATGCCTTAGATAATATCAATAAAAAAAATTCATAAAAGTACATAATAATAATATGGCCAATAATAATTCATTTTGATTTGCAATATCCACTAATACGTTGTTAATTATTGATTTAACTAAAATAAAAAAATTTCATAGAAGTATATAATAATAATATGGCCAATAATAATTCATTTTGATTTGCAATATCCACTAATACATAGCTAATTATTGATTTAACTAAAATACTTTTGAAATCTTATTACCCTAATGATTAAAATAGAAGTTTTAATACCTTTTTCATATAAAAATAATTATTAGTGCTTGTATTAACTTTTATTTTTTGTAAAAAGCTAATTATTAGTAATTGTATTCAACTTATCTCTACTTAAGAAAGAGACTAAAACAATAATATTATTTCTAAGAAATAGGTTAATCCATTTTTCTATTTTATGCCTATTTATGCATGACATCAAACCTTAGATAATATGAAATAAGCTTCTCAAATCACCTATAATCTATAAAGCATCTTCTTGAAACTTTATTTTTACTACAAAACTATGAAAATGCTTAAAACTAGTCAATTGAGTCTTATAATTAAAATTTTAAAATAATAAGATCACATGAAGTTATTGAATTGTATCCTTAGTTTCTTGATTTTATGTGGAATCTTCCGTCATTTTCTTGCATTATCTTTGAATTTTAAAAAAAATAAATTTTTTGCTTTGTACTCATAATATGATAATCAAATAACGCCTACTTTTTTCAAGAACTTTCAACTGTATTACTAAATATAAGTAATAAAAAATAAAAATAATTTTAGATTATAATTTATTATATGTTTACTTGTTAAAATCGCTACTAATATTAAAAAAATTTCTTTAAACAAAACATTCATAAAATTTGTATTCATGTCTATATATGTCTATATATTTTTTATTTCCAATACTCCCGTCAAGTATAGTTAAAATCTAAAAATGATAAAATTACATAAAATCCAGCAAAGTATTAAGTTAAAATTATTTTGTAAAGGACCCTAGATATACTCTTACTTTATTTTTGGCTTCTTTATATATAAAGATTTATACTTTCTTTATTTACAATAATTTTTTATGTGCAATGCAA